TGGAAAAAGAAAAAGGTAGCTTGCTAGGATCTTGCAATCCTATGCCTATGTATCCTATATAGGAAGTCAGAGCAATCGTAGTTCGAAAACTACGTTTGGAAAAAAGAAAAGTGTGCTCACCAAGGATCAGGGAGTTGTGCCTACGTATTCTCAAGAGGAACTTGAGAAATTAGAGCGTCCATAGTTCGTGGAACTACGAGTTATAGGTTATAAGAACCAAGAACAATAAAGACAAGTAAAGAATAAACAAGAGATATGGACAATGACAATTAAGTCAACATATAATCCCTTCCCTTAGATTAGGTTAACAGGGAATAGAAAGTAAAGCAACAAGTACATGAAAAAACATCATGTAAATGACAAGAAATAAATGATGACACAGACACAGTACATGGAAAAGCATCATGTATGCTCAGACAAATAAGATATTACAAAGTGCACAAAATACGCGTGGAAAAACATCACGGTAATTAGACAACAAAAGTCAACAGAAATACACGGAAAAACATCATGTAATCAACAGACAAAAATACGCAGAAAAGCATCGTGGAAAAGCAACAAATAATCACGACAAAACATCGTGAAGCAAATTGGAAATACGGGGCAAAGCATCGCGAGAAATCACATAAAATCCACAAACATACACAGAAGAATATCGTATAACAAGAAGAATTATTAATTAATTTAAATATTAATATTTAATAAGATTAATTAATAATTTAATTAACCAATATTAAATAAAAATATTTAAATTAATTAATAATTAAAACATATATTATTTTTACATTTTTAATATATTTCAAATAACTAATTAAATATTAAAAAATAAATGATGATGAAATGTTTTTTTAGTTTTTTTTTTCTAATATACAAATAAATGATTAAACTATAAATAAAATATTAAATAAAAATGGTTAAAATGTCTTTTTATTCTTTTTAAAATCAAACAAATAAGAGAAAAGATTAAAAAAATAGGGTTAAAACATGAAAAGAGAGGTGTTAAAAAAGTACTTAATGGGCAAAGGAAGATAAAATCAAAAAAGAGATAAACCAAAACAATCCTTATTTAACAACAACAACAACAATAATAATAATAATAATAATAATAATAATAATAATAATAATAATAATAATAATAATAATAATAATAATAATAATAATAATAATAATAATAATAATAATAATAATAAAAAAAAGAAAATAAAAAGAAGGTTACCCAAAAACTAATATTTCCTCTTCTTGTTGTACCACGTAAAGCACAAACAGTCCCTCCTTCTTCTTCTTTCTCGTGGCGGCGGGTCAAAGTAAACTTTCTCTTTGTGCAAGAATGAAATAAGAGACACCCTTTATCCCTTCCTCTCCAGTATGAACGGAATGCATTTTTAGCGGCAATAGTGCGTAAACAACGGGATCCCGATGGCGGACATATATGGTGTGCAACTGCAGTTGGTGGAGGTTTTGAAACCATGTCATTGTTTTCTTCAGAAAATGAAGAGGATCCTCTCCCTCTTCGTGTGCAACGCCTGGCCCTTTTATGCTGATGTGTGTGTTTGAAGAGGAAACAAAGGCGGAGATTGATGAGAAGGTGAGTTGGAGATGGTTCGTTGATGTAAAAAAAAGGTGAAGCTTAGATGAATTCTGTTATTGCACTTTCTCTTGTTGTTGAATGCATTCAGAGAGAGCAAGGGATCCATTATGGTTTATAAGGGTGGAAAGAATGAGAGAGGAAATTGATGGTGAATGATTCTATGTGGTCAAGAAGGAGAGGATGTTATGTTGATAGGAAGAATATGTGTGAGTTTTGTTTTAAAGTTGGTGTGGGAAGAAGAGTAATATGGTATGGCGTGTAATATGTATGTGTGGTATGTGTAATATGAAGAGGAAGCATGGGCGTTGGTCTTCTTTGGTTTTATGTGGAAGATGAATATTGTATGATGATTTTAGTTGTTATGTTGTGTTGTTACAACGTGCGTTTTCGAAATGGAAGCAAGGGAGGGTATAATGTGATGCTTGGAGATGGTGAAGGGTGTTTGAAGATTGTGAAGAGGAGGTTTGTTTTAGATGGAAGTTATGTCATGGTTATTTTCACGTGAGCATAAAATATCCTTTTTTTTCTTCTCTTTCCTTTCAAACGAGAGAGAGAGAGAGAGAGAGAGAGAGAGAGAGAGAGAGAGAGAGAGAGAGAGAGAGAGAGAGAGAGAGAGAGAGAGAGAGAGAGAGAGAGAGAGAGAGAGAGAGAGAGAGAGAGTATTGATGGAGTGCATCGCATGGAAAGGGTGATGTTTTATGAAGAAGAAGTAAGGAGGTCAAGCTATGGAAGATGCAAGCATTTCATGTGGAGTATGGAGATTTTGTTTTCAACTGTTTTCTTTAAGTGCAGGCCTTGGTGTATTGTGTAAAGAAAAACAAGTAGCAGGTGGTATGTGCTTGGTGGTATTTGAATCGTGTGGTGTTACAAAAGAATATGATACATTTCCTTTTTTGCTTTGCCTTATTTTATTAAAATAAAAGAGAGATAAAATAATATAGGGACAGTGTTGCAGGTGTATACTGTGATTTGGTCATGTATAAAGTGATAATTTCACCAAAATAAGAAAAAAAACAAAATTCAATTTCTAAACTTAAATAACAAGTTATGCCAACAATAGATAGAAAACAAAATTAATATATTAAAAAAATAAAAAAGATAAATGAATTAAAAGGGGAAAATAAACAAATTAACAATAAAAATCTGAATTAAAACTAATTAACTGAAGTAAAAAAAAATTGGTAAAACGAGTGATTGAGCCGATATCGAAATGCTAACAAAAAGTGAATACACCAAAGTGATCAGCAAAAAATATATGATTCAGAATAATACAGCACTTGGTCAAATTTTAAAATAAATTTTACCCGCTAAAATGGATTAAACAGTCAAAAAAATACGACAGAAAAGTGGTCGAAAAATTTAAATGAGCACGCCAGATTAAACTACGCGAAATATAGATTAATATCACTGCCATTTGCAAGCTCAATTTTAAAATTTTTCGCCCACTGATTTTTCGCACAATTGACTTTTAATCTGACCGATTCGGATGTAAATCCAACAAGTTTACTTTAGCTGATAAATTGGGTATTATGTGAGATGAAAGACATGATATGCTATGCAGACGATGCAAAAACTCGTGGGATCTTAGAGTCAAAAATTAGGGTATGACAGACACCTTTATAAGGAATCCTACTGTGAGTACAACTGGGGGGTGGTTACCTTGGCTTACACATATTCGAGGCTAGGAGAGGGATGTATGTGGAAGACCAAGACTGTGGCAGGAAACGTGGCACTTCTTGTGGTAATAATCTTATATCCTTCGACTTTTTTCATTTCTTTTCATTTTATATTTGAGATAATGCTTGATATTGATTTTTTTTTCATTTCAGGCTTGGATACTTTCCCATGATTGCCGGGTGAGGGAGTGTACCCGATTACACAGAGCAGATGCCGCGTGCCCGTGCCTTTCTTTCGCTCAGGGGGAACCAGGCGGTTGGCCCTTACAGAGTCTATCTCGATCGCCTGGCTGCTGAGAACATCCGATATGATGTATATGCTGATCACCGTGTGACACACCCATTTGACGACATCTCCCTATTCTTAGGATGGTTGACATGCAGTTTGGTCATCAATGTTGCATATTTGCCCGAGCGCGCCATGCGGCAGTTTGACTACACTCAGACCATTTTTAAACACCCAGTTGTCTCCGCTCCTCTCGACTTGACCCGTATGCAGATAGACGAGATCTATGCCGACTACCAGTGGCACATGGTACCTGAAGAGGCTCAGACGACCAGAGCGCCGACAAACTGAAGCTGTGTTGATGACTACATCATGTGGTTCTTCATCGTATCACACCCCTACATGGTGCCCACTGCCGCAGGATCACCTCCCAGACCAGTTCATTAGGAGATCTTAGGATGTCGTGAGATAGTGGAGATGGGGCGGACATGCATTGCCGCCGATTTCTTCCCTGAGGGGTCTAACCACAAACATGTATTGGATGACATCATTGCGATGGTAGCAGGGGCACTTATGTATCGCAGGCATCGCGCCAGGACGGGTGAGATCGATGGCCGAAGACACAGATTAGCGGGAGAGGCAGCAGAGACGAGACGAGAGAGGCAAACACAGTAGCGACTATATTTTTGATGACATTTATGTACCATATTACTTCTTATATATATATATATATATATATATATATATATATATATATATATATATATATATATATATATATATATATATATATATATATATATATATATATATATATATATATATATATATATATATATATATATATATATATATATATATATATATATATATATATATATATATATATATATCATATTATTTTATATACGGATACATGTCATTTTATATTCATTTGCAACAGTTAATTTTTATATACGACCAACAAAACTTGATTTAAAAAAAAAACAGTTCTGATAAGATTTCGGAGATGCATCTCCGAAACTTTTTTCGTAAATGTATCTCCGAAAACATCCAGCGTAAAAAAAAAGGGTGCGTTCAAATGTGTATCTTTGAAAATAAAGAGCATAAAAAGAATTTCGCTAGATGCCTAAAAATATCAAAGAGTGGATTTAAAAACTCATGGAATATAATGTTCAGCCCATTTAAGTCACCGGGCCTATGGGCCGGCCTATTTGACAAGTCATGAGAACCATGCGTATATATTGAAATAAATTCTTCCGAGTCAATTAATTTGGATCTGATATAGAGTACACAACAATCATCAAAATTACAGATACGTCACCGTATTTATTAACCTTTCCACGCGTTTCTCATCTCATCATTCAAAACACTCAACAACCCAACCAAACTCACCATTCCTTCTGATATTCCAAGGTTAACCACCGCCACCGTATCAATCTCCGACGAATCCTCCGGAGACAACTCACCGATCTCCGTCTAATCAACTCTTCCTTATACTTTATCAGAGATGAATCCTGAGTAGTATGTTCCCTTTCACTCATCCACTCTTCGCTCTCGCTTTTCATCGATTCGTGTTTTGTCCTCTGAAATTTCTGAAATTCCATTCCTTTTCCGTGTTTTCGTTCTTCTATGTTAAAAGAGTTGTGGTAAATTGGTGATTACAAGTTGGATTATGTTAACTGAATTTTTTGTTGATTTCTAACCCTAGATTGATTGCTTTCCGTTATTTTTCTTTTGTGCCTATGAATTATTAACAAACAAACGATCACGATTAGATATCGATCGTTGTTTTTTAGTTTTCATGATTGATTTTGGAGGTTCAGAATTACTCTGATCTTGTCCTGTGTTGATTTCAAAGAGTCGTTTGAGTTTGTAATTCAATCAATCAGAAGCAAAATAGAGATGCTTGTTGTTTTTTGTTTATAGATCTTATATAGATCAAAACTTCACAATTGGTTTGATTTTATTTCATCTTCATGCATGTGTGTGTGTGAGAGAGAAATAGTAATTTCAGAAGCTGATGTGTTTTGTTGGTTTATCCTTTTCAGTGATTATCTGTTCAAGCTTCTTCTTATTGGAGATTCTGGTGTCGGCAAATCATGCCTTCTTCTGAGATTTGCTGTAAGCTTTCTGGCTGCTTTTTGTGCAAATTATAATTTTGACTACTCATGGGTTTCTTTCCTATTTTCTATGATATAATGTCATGATGTTAGTTTTAACTCCCATCTTATTGTATTTCTACATTTTTAGAGTTATCTCTTTTATCCTAACCAAAGAACAAAGAACAATAGCCGCATGTTTGGTTTTACGGCGGAAAAAATTGATGAGTGAATTGATTTGGTAAAATTTATTATGGTTAAAAGTGAATTGATTTGGTAAAATTTATTATGGTTAAAAGTGAATTGAATATAAAGTGATTTGTGTTTGTATAACTTTATGCAAAATTGAGTTAAATCACATTTAAACTCAAAAGCTATAAATTCTAGCTTTAAGTATAATCAATTCTTGAAATAGAATCAATTCTACTTTAGAAGAACCAAGCACTTCAAAGTTATTCCAAAGTCAATTCTACACCTCTATAATTGCTTTTGGCTCTTCCAAAAGCTAAACAATAGCTCCTGGTTTAACTCTTTGTCAGATGTTTTTGTTATGTTGGTTTTCTGGGAACCATACCATTGATGTGTTTATGAAGTTGGGGGAAAATAAATCCCTTTGGATTGTGTTGAAAATGGTGAGTTTCTGATGTCTGGTTGAAAACGGAGTTTGGAAAATGGAATTGTCATCTTTTAGCTCTAAAAAAATTAAAGCATGTTAATTTTCTTAATATGGTTTGAGGAGAAATTGAAGGAGTTTGGAAAATGGAATTTTTATCGTCTTTTACCTCTAAAAAAATTGAAGCATGTTAATTTTCTTAATTTGGTTTGAGGAGAAGTCTGTGGCTCGACTAGTGTCATAAAATATACTTTTGTCATGTAATCCACTTTTTATAGCTTATGATAGTTAGTTACCAAACTTTGAAGTAAAATGGCTTTACTTTGCATTTTGGTTGATCTTGGTTCTTGAGATGATTTAGAGTGTTGCTTAATGTAGTGATTTGCATTAACTTTAAGTTTTGTTATTATGCTACAGGATGATTCTTACATTGATAGCTACATAAGCACCATTGGAGTTGATTTTGTAAGTACAACTTTGCAAAATTTATATCTTGCACTGATTAAAGCAATTTCTGATCTCATTATTTTTTGTTATTTTTATGTAGAAAATCCGTACCGTTGAGCAGGATGGGAAGACTATTAAGCTCCAGATTGTATGTATAGATGGCTTTGTTTTAGTTTCTTTTTCTGTCGATGTTATATCTTTCTTCAATGAGCTTGACCCAACTTTTTAAATATTTTTGTTGGGTGTATTTATGCATAAAATAATTTTTTATAACCTCTTCCTTTTGTTGATATACTTTTCCCTTTGAAGCTGTTATACACTCTGGACCACATTGACTTTTGTTTCTTACCTTGTGTGATTCAATTTCTTATGTAGTGGGATACAGCTGGCCAAGAACGATTTAGGACAATCACCAGTAGCTATTACCGTGGGGCACATGGAATCATTGTGGGTGATTGATGGTTTTGCATAAGCTTTAAATCTATATATTTCCGAGTTAATGATGTTTCTATGCCTGATTTACTTACTAGTTATTCTGGCAGATTGTTTATGATGTGACAGATGAAGAGAGCTTCAATAATGTGAAGCAATGGCTCAGTGAAATTGACCGCTATGCTAGTGACAATGTTAACAAGCTCTTGGTCGGCAACAAGTGTGATCTGACAGAAAATAGAGCTGTGCCGTATGAAACAGCTAAAGTATAACTTTCTTTTACACCCTTTGAATTTTCCTATTTATTTTCTATATTAAGGAAAGATATTCAAGCTTGTGTTCCTGCGTTTATGCTCTTATGTTCCTATTTCAGCTACCATTACCCCATCTTTTATATTATGTTTTCCTTTAACAGGCATTTGCAGATGAAATAGGCATACCTTTTATGGAGACTAGTGCAAAGGATTCTACAAATGTCGAACAGGCATTTATGGCAATGGCTTCTTCCATCAAGGAAAGGTAATCATTTTTTGTTATAATTTATCAGAAGATAAACAGCTAACGTTGCTTGGCTTTGAAAGCGAGTTCAAGCAATAAAAAAGTTAACAGCTCATAAAGAAGGATTACACCTAAGCTCGCACCACCAATATTCTTTAGTTCGAGTCTTTTTTGGCTTTCAGTTTCCTTAGCTGGGAAAAGTCAGTTTTGAGGACTTGATATCTAATCCATCCATTCTTATCTAGATCACACTTAATATAAATAACTTCAAGCCATACAGAGATACCTAAATGAGGCAAAAAGCCATGGCCACTGAGGAAATGATTTTGGCCTGCTGAAAAACTTGCAACCGACATGATTATCATCTCCTCAAGAGGCTCATCATTTTATTTTAATTTCTTCAGGACAACCTGATTTTATACTTAGATATACATTAGGCCAACCCTGATTTTCATTGAAAGATTATTTCAATTTTAACATGGATATATAGATCAGTAACTTTTTTTTTTGCTGTCACCAAGATTGAATTCTGATGAAAAATTTGTCTTAAATGTAGAATGGCAAATCAACCTACAAACAATGCGAGGCCTCCAACAGTGCAGATTAGGGGACAGCCAGTTGGGCAGAAAAGTGGGTGCTGCTCATCTTAACCTCAAGATATCTTCTGATCTATTTCATTTGGTCTACTGATCATTGCATGTAAGAATTTTTTTTTGCTATGTTATTATATGACTAAAATAGTGGACCAATGTAAGAATTTGTCTGGTGGTTTGGAACTGACCTAGATGATCCCATTCTTTGAATATACTTAATGATATGGTTTGTGCAAACTACAATATTCATTAATGCTAAATCTATATATTCCTGCCCTTGTTTCAGTTCAAGCTTGAGTCTACTTTTGCTTTTGTTTATTTGATTACTAGATTAATGAATTCTCTTATTTCAAAATTTTGGCCTTGTTATGTGAAAGATTTTGTATTATGGTGACTCTGATTTGCTGCAGTTTAGGGTGGTGCGTATTGATCTTAACCTTAGGATAAAAGTTTGAGTGATTTTCTTTTCAACAACAATCCAAAACCTACTTGTGATTAACTTGATAAATAAGTTTTTATTTTAACCTTATTATTTGACTTGAAAATTGTTTTTTTTTTCCAACAATACTACTACCCAAAACCTACTTATGATAATTTTTAGATTTTATTTCACTTATTTCCCCATTGGGGTGTGGATCCATAAACGATAATTAAATTTGAAAATAATAAAATTTGTTTGGTAATACAGTTTTATAAAAATTATTTTAAATAATAAAATTTGTTTGGTAATATAAATTTACAAAGTATATTTTTTTAAGAACTATTTATGTATGAGTTTTTGAAACTAGAATAGATTTTATAGGTTTTGATTTTTTTAATGAAAATTATAAAGATAAAAAATAACTAAATGATTTAATTTTATTAAGGGTAATGTTAACTTGTGCCCTTGGGGTACATGTTAAGAACTAAATTAAGAAACATTGTTTTGGAAATTGTGTATAAACTTTAATTAAAATATAAAATTAATTTTTAAATTATTTTTCCCAATGCAAATTTACTATAAGTGGTTTTCTTAACCTGTGTCTCAAGGACACAAGTTAATATTACCCTTTTATTAATGCCAAATTACCCTTTTATTAATGCCAAATTTGCTACGAGGGTTAATCCTGTTTTAACAACATGCCTATGCTTTCTTGAGTGGGACATGCGACTTTATAAATAATACCGTAAGAGGTTAGAAAATGAGTGAGAGGTTTAAATTCACCACCACCACAATCAGTATGGACCGACTTAATTTTGAGATTAAGTTGTAGTTCATCTAGTGCTTTGAATTGTACAAAAGTTGCGAGTGTATTTGATTTTAGTTTTAGGGGATAAATCCATATATACTTGTAAGAATATACACAAGTGAGGAAGTAAGTGTATCCACAAGAGGAAGTGACAGGGGAGGGTTCCATAGGTCACAACTACTATGGAGGTAGTGGAAGTCTACGAGGCTTGCCAATACAGCAAGCAGTACAAAAATCATATAAGTTTTTATTAGGAATGTGGATATTACAAATATGGATATTACAAAGTTGAATACATGCTTTAAAATTTCATGACTAGGGTGTCTTAATTTTTTGTGTCATAATTGGTGTAAGCTAGAACTAGAAGAATTAGGACAAACATTATTACACTTGATATGAAAAGCCAAACTATGTCCACTTGAGATATGAAAAGCCAAAGTAGGTCCTATATAAGAAGAAGTGAGTTGTTGATTGGATGTTGGCTTTGTAACACTGAGGACTTGAGGGGAGGCTGATTGAGAAGAGCTAACAAATTTGTACAATCCATCATTATCAAGTAAGCCCCTCAGTAATACCTTAAAGATAGTCTGACATTTGACAAAGCAAATATTAACACGGAACTAAAAAAAGACTAGGTCATCTTTTGAAAATTAGCTTACACTCGCAAGATTCTTAGTAATTGAAGGCATTAAGAGAAGGTCGTTTAGTTTAAGAGATGTATTAAGGCATATATTGGAAGGAAATTGCATAGATTTAAGAGAAGTAATAGTCAAACCTTGTCCATTTCCCACATGGACTTGATAAAAACCAGGGAGAAAAATAGACTCCATGAGATTTGAGGCATTAATAATGATATGGTGGGTGCTCCAGAGTTAGGGTACAAAGCTTGATTATAGAAGGGAGAGTAGTCAGTGTAAGCAACTAGGGCTTGAGGTCTGTGTTAGATATTGAGACTACATAGATGGAGTTCCAGGCTGGGAGAAGAGAAATACAGGGAATTAGGCGCTTTGTACTCAGGTTGTGCTGACACATTGGACTGAGGCATACCAAAATGGCCAGAGGCTGGAGGTAAACCATAGGGATCTTGTGTGTGGCGATAGTAACAATCGCTAGCATCATGTCCTGGTTTGTAACAGATTTGACACTGAACAATGTTCCTATATCCATTGCCACCAAAACCAAATGTAGACATGTTAAACTGACTTGAATCATTCATTTCAGAAGAGCGAGGAAGTTGAGGTTTAGGACTCCTTGAGTTAGATTCACAGAAACAGATTTAGAGACTTCTTTCTTAGCCTTCTCAATGTGTGATTCCTGAGTAAGAAGCAGTGATTAAAGTCCATCGAGACAAAATCAGGTCTTAAATTAACAACAACAACTGAATCAAATTCAATAGGTAAAGCTTCAAGAATTAGTTCAATTTGATCACGATGCAACACTAGGTCACCAATAGACATTAAGGTGTCAACAATTGTGCGAACACAAGCAAGAAATTCAGCAATGGACCGCGTTCCCTTGGAAAGCGAACGTAACTCAGATCTCAATCGTCTGGAAAACAATTTCATCTGCATGTGACAATACGAGTGAATGTCCTTCTATACTTTCCACGAGGTGCAAAGTAAAATAAATATCGAGAGGAGCGAATCGGAGATGGTTGGCAACAATCACGTACACAACAGAGCATCATGTTTCTCCCAACCAACAATTTGGGTTTTCTGAACCAGCTTCGCGATTAACAACAAAGGGGAATCGTTCAGGAATTGGAGGCACAACTAGGAATTTTACCATTTTCGTTTCTCGAAGAACGCCTTCGACTTGTTGCTTCCATTGTCGATAGTTAGAATCGTCCAATTTTATAGAGATTTTTTGTTTGAAGGTTGAATAGGCGACAACGCAAACTATAGCATTTTTTTGTAGAAGATTGAGATGCAAAGGACGTGGCCATTGGCGCAAAAACAGGCGTAGAAACTACAAGTACTCAAGTATAACAAATATCTCTCTCACCCTAATTAGGTTTTGTCACACCACACTTAAGATGAGAGACTAGTATTGTGAGGGCAAATTCTCATACACTATAAGTACTTATGTTTCGATGATGTCAAAACGTAATCAGGAAAGAATCGGGTTTCAGCTCTACCACCACAAAGCAAATGCACATCACACTTATCATATCTCTCTTGTGTGCATATCATGTCTAGCGAACTTGTCATATATAGTCAAATGTAGTTGGCAGATCATTGGTCATGTCTAGAAGCATAGAATTCACAAAAATAAGCATTTCTGCAAAATTACAGGTTTTGAGTCAACCACAGGTTGACGCATGGTCAGCGCATGGAAAAGTATCAATTCCCACGGGTCGACGCATGCTGTTGAGACTTTGAATCTGTCTAAAAATGCAGGCTATGCATCGATGCACAGTCCTGATATGGTCGACCGCTCGCTGTTTTTTCTGCCTACGTTGAAGAATTTCACTTAGTTTGAAAAGCTGTTATGTCGGTTGGTTTTTTGAGTTACTATAAATAGAAGTTTGGTTCATTTTTTCTACAACAATTGAAACATTGAGTCAATTGCACATAAACAAGAAAAGTGAAATAGGTGTCCTAGTTCTCATCATCTTCATCTTCAACATTTCATAACACAACAATTACACACAACAATTCTTGTTGTGCATTGTGGTTTGTTCAAGGTGATAACGTCCGAAGCCGTCGATTGGGAATCCGTTTCGGGTTGAGTTTGTGGCAGGTTTTTCTTGAATAAAATCTTGAAGGTTTTATCCTCTAAGATTCGTCGAATTTGGGGTTTTTTGGTACGAATCGTCTCTACAACATTCAGCTGAGTGAAGGTGATTGAGAAACGGTAGGTTCGGTCAATCTAGTAGCGACAATCAGTGAATTATGTAGGAGAGATTCAGGTTCGATTTGTTGGTGTTTAAGATCAGTCGGGCTGGGGTTTGAAGAACGCAAGGTTATTCAACAAAGGGGCTGTAATCGGAGGTCTATCCACAACAATCGAAGGACTTGATTCAACTTGAATCAAGGAGCAAGGAGAGAAAACATCATCAATAACCAGAGATTTTGTTTGTATATTTTGCTTGTCTATCCTTGTATAAACGTTTCAACTCAACATGTGATATCTATATTATATTGAGCTCAGTTCTATTATTAGAATTGAGGGCAGACGTAACCCGAAGCGAGGACGGCGGGGGAACTGCCTCAACAAATCTTTGTCTCATTTATTTTTCAGCACTTTCATTTTTGCTTGATAATTGAGTAATTTTAGTATAAGCAATTTTATCAAGTTAACATTGGTTTGAGTAAGTGATTAACATTGTTTTTAACTCTAGTACAATAGTGTATTGTACAAGGAAGCTAGAGTCACTTACTCAAGGAAAAACTCACTTGGAGTGCCTCGCACGCCAAGTGTTTGATAAATTGCCTACACTAAAATTCACTTGTATTTTTTTACATATTTTGGTTGGCATTGTGTAGCATTGGAACTAGTCTTACTAATTAGTGATATTAATCAATTGATAGTGTGACTAGTGTGGTGATTCTATTTGCTCATTAACATTTTCATAAGGCTAGACGCATATCCGGTCTTCTAATAACGGTTCGTTATAGACGGCATTTTTCCACGGCCGCTTCCGCAAATCAAATTTTTAAAACCAATTTTTAATTGGTAGCGTCAACTGAATTTTTAATTGGGATCTATTCAACCCTCCCTTCTAGATCCGTGTCATCGTCTAACAAGTGGTATCAGGAACACCGGTTCACTATGTGCTTCAAATATAACTTTGATAGAAAATGGCTAACGAACCTAAAGGGGCTT